TAAAATGTTTGGGAAAAAAAAAAAAAAAAAAAAAAAAAAAAAAATCACATAAACCTGTCAAAGAATTGCTCAGTGGTACAAAGTATTCTGGGTTTGAAGTATTATGGTTTCTACCAAAACTCCAGTTATTTAGTTTTGTGCCCTTCCTGGCCAATGTAAATTATGCAGCCCTCGCATCTCGACATCAGTGAGTTATGTAGGTTTGTGCATACATCAATTCATTTTGGTCCCATCAACTTCCCACCTCCTGTGTGCTGCTCACCCCAAATCGGGTTTGCACCTCCCAGCCGCGAGCGGTTCATCTCGCGCTCCCGGCAGCTGCATCTGCCCGGGCCTGCAGCTCCGCTTCAACTCTTCACCCTCCTCCTCCTGTCTCTGCTCCTGCTCAGCTGAGCCACTGCCTGCTCCTACTGAATCCCTCCTCCTCCTCCTGCTCCACAACGTGGATCCATCCTTGTGCCTTGCCAGTGGGTCATCACCTAATCCCAGTGCACCCAGCCCAGGGCAGTGGGGCTGGCCCAGAGGTGACCTGGTTGTCCTTATCACTCTCCTCCCCATTTTCAATGTGCATGTTGTAAAATTGAAGCTACATCTTCTGGAGTGGCCTATGAAAGTCATGGTGTACTTGGAGCAGCCACCTCCAAAGCCCTTCCTGTGGTGAAGGCTGGATCACACAACATCTTGCTGAGAAAAGCAGTAGCTTCTAGGACTGTACAAAAAATGGTGTTGAGGAGAAAGGTGGCACCCATCCAACTCAGCCCTGCTAGTTAGCATCACCTGGGCCTTGGGCTTGAAGTGCTTAAAGTGCCCACATCATGTGCCTCAGCAGGCTTCCCTATGCAACCCATTGATTTTATGTCTGATTTTACCTCAGGAGCATGGAGAGGGGGAGACTGGTGGCTTTCCAAAAGGCTATGGTGATGGCAGAAGGGCCAGGAGCAGTCAGGCTGTACCCTGGGACTCCCAGGGTCACTGTGTCCAGAGGGCTGGGGGAGCCTCCAGGGGCTGAAGGGAGTCTGACTCATCTCAACCTGAAGTTATAGAATACTTTCTCTCCTTTTTGTCTGTGTTGATATTGTCAGTGTGCAATGCTGTAACCGACTTGTGCTTTTTTTGTATAGTTCCCAGCACATCTGGTCACCTTGGATAAGGTCCCTGGGCCTGATTGTAGCAAAAAAAGTAATGCTTAAAACTTGGGCCTTCAACTACCACCATATGTAAAACACAAAGCACTGGGGACAAAGTGGAGGAAACACAGATTTTAGTTACTGACCAGAAAAAAGTATGTTCATTGTGTTATATCTGCAGTTGTGCTTTTTGTGTTTTGGAACTGAGAGCCAAGCAATGGAGTGCTTGTCCCAGGTGATTGGCACTGAGCATTTTCTCTGTCCCATCCGCACCACAGCCCTGGTCATTCATCATTGGGAAGCTAAGCTGGCTCTAGAAAATGTTCCTAATTATCTGGTTGTCCTGATGAAACCTGCCTTGGTTTGAAAGAGGCACCACTGTACTCACGTGAACATTTCTTGTTTCTTCTAAATAATAGAATTAGCTATGGGCATTTCCTTAAGAGCATGCAGAACACAATTGCAGTCTAATTCCTCTCCCTCCAAGCCTAGTCTTGAAACATGCAAATTTCTCTTTCAAGTATGTTGGCAAAAAATGGCAACATCCTCACACACACACACATGATTTAGACACTGAATTATACACTGCACTGGTTGAGATATTGTCAGTGAGCTGACTTCTTGGGTGGATTCATCAGGAGTGCTGTGGAGAACAGTGCAGTCTGCTGAGCAAATATCAGTGGACAGCTTGTTTCTTGCTCTCTTCTATAGGGATCCACCAGGATCTGGCCACTGCAGGGACAGGGTGCTGGGCTGGGTATGGACCTGTGGGCTTCCCAGCCTTGCTCTGTCCTTGCACAGCTCCATGCGGCACCACGGGGCCGTGTGCCTTCTGCTGAGCATTTTCATGTTCTGTTTTAAAAATAACAAGACATCTCTTAACATTCAGGATACATTTTTCCACTCTGAAGCACCACAACAGTCTTTTTAAAGAAACTCTAGGAAGGGTGTTAACTTGATCAATGCTGTGCAGGAAGGAAAGCTCTTTCCTACTATTTTTTCAGCATGACTTTCACTGACATGATCAGGCTGGGAAAAGACTTATTGGCTGACAGCCCAGGACAGCCATGCAATATCTCTAGTCATCTGGAACTCAAACTAGTCTACCCAAGGGAGAACCATAACATAAAAACAATTTAGGTTACATGCTGAATTTTATAAACATTGTTCAGTTTTTAAAAAAAATGTTTAAATACTATTTATGTGCATTCACTGTGCACAGGATTATTGTATTTTGCTTTTCTTTTTTCCAAATGTAAGAAAAGTAAAAAAGCAAGAAAGGCTGGAAGGGATTTTTCTTTTTTTTACTGTAGATGGTTTTCAGAAGTCTTGGAGATTTTTTATAAACATAGGGAAATGAGCTTCCTCCCTTCTCATAAATTTAAGCTCTTGGCTTCTCCTCTATATCGGATATAATTGTTTTATATATAGATAAAGTTTACTTTTTGACCCTGTCCAGAAAGCTGTTTGAAGGGAGCTTCCAGAGGCCCAGCAGTCCCCCTCCTGCAAACACAGGACTTTCACCAGACCAGGTCGGGGAGAGCTTGGCTTCCTCTGCTGAGCCATAAAACCCCCAATGGCAGAATTTCCACAGCCTCCCCAGTAACCTGCCCTGAGGCTGTGCTTCTCTTCTAGAATTTTTTTCCTCCCATCCAGTCTGAACCCTCCATGCTGCCCTCCGTGGGCATTGTCCCATCTGACATTGTCTGTCTCTGTTCTGCCACCCTCCCATGTCCATTATAATCTGAGTAACCCTGAGCACCCAAAGTGCAGGGTCAAACACGTGTATGAAGCTGAGCATCCCTGGCCTCTCTCTGTTGTCACCTTATTTTGCATAGAAAACTCTGTCAGAATAACCTGCTCATCTGTAACCATGTGCAGCTCTAATAATGTGGGATAAAGCAATGTGGATCCACAACGTAAGATTCACTCCAACAAAACTCTTCTTTTCTTTGCTCTTTGTCTTGGTGGAAGATCTGTGGATGTGTCCATTGCCACCTGTCCTTCTGCCAAGTTCTAACATTCCAGCACACCTTGCAACAAGTTTAGAGCTATTGTTTTAGAAAAATGACTGTGGTTCCTTAATGATTCCTTTTTTCCATAAACTGCTGTTTCAGAAGCTGAGTAGCCTTACTGTCTTTTCTTGTGCAGGTTCGTGCTTTTGTTTAAACTGTTGGTTATTTGGTGGTGGTGTTGTTTTTGAGTTGTGTTTTTTTTACTTCCTTGACGTGCTGTAACTTTTGCTGTGACGCTTTCATTGCAGGCCTTGCTGAGGCCGGGGCGAATAGACAGAATTATCTACGTGCCACTGCCAGATGCAGCCACTCGCAAGGAAATCTTCCAGCTTCATTTCCAGTCCATGCCAGTCAGTGATGAAGTCTGCTTGGCCGAGCTCGTGGAGCGCACACAGAAGTACTCGGGAGCAGAGGTAAAACATCCTGGAGTCGGTGCGCAAATGGTGTTTGAAGTTGAACTCAAATATCCCTGGAGCTTTCTCAGAGTGCTGGTGGGAATTATGAAAGGGAATATTTCAGATATTCCTGTGTTTTTGCAATCTGGGGCTTTTTTACTTTACTACCCCATGACTGGAGTGGTGCCAGGGGAAGGGTCTCTTTCAGGGTGAGCCCTCATACAGTTGCAGGCGGCCGCATTAAGGATGTGCTGCTAGGAGTGGAGGGAGGCGGAGGCAAGTTCTCCCAGACAGTTCCTCCACATCTCTGGGAATCTTTTGAATGTAGGATTGTGACTGAGAGCCTCAGGAGGAGAGACAGAGTTAGGAAACACTGCAAAGGAATTGCAAAGGAGTCATTTTGAAGCATGTATTTTCCTATTCCATATAATCAAGACCTCACAGCAGCACTTACTGTTACAGCTCGTTGCTATTACTCAGCTTCTGACACTGGATGTCAATTACTTCCTGTCTTGGGTAGAAGGAGAAACTTTCTCAGATGCTGCTGCCTGGCAGTTATAAGTATCAGTACATTAGTGGTCACCATTCTGCTCCCTGAATATTATTCATGTCAGTGTCTCTTGAAAGGATATTTCATTCTTTCCTCATTTTAATTAATTGAGAGTAATTATATTAATTCAAAAATTCAAAGAGTGTTAATAAGGTTGCCAAGTTGAGCTCTTAAAAGGTGTGAAATACCAGAACTTCCACCTAATGTAGCCAGCCCTAGTGTCTGCATTATCATGCCATCTAATTACACAGTCGCCTTCTGCTTTTTCCATAGCAGAGTGGAAAATGTGATGTGCTTGCCTTGGCTCCCCATCTCTCTGTGTGCTGTTTACAAGGGCAGGGAAATAAGCTAAACTTTTGTCTTGGGTGATTGTGGAGGATTTGTGTGATTGCTGAAGGCCCTTCTCAAAGGACTGGTGATGCTCCCAGGCAAGGCTTCTCTTCATGTAGCTGTCACTTGGGTGCTGGTAGGCTGTAAAAGACTGTGCTTCTTCCTATTAATAACCTCTGGCTGGTGAGGGCACTGCTGTGTGTGCTGTGGGTCATTTTGGGAAGCTGTGTCACAGCAGACACCAAAGCCAAACCCACGAGGATTTTCCTCCTCCACAGCACAGGGCAGACTGCACTCTGGGAATGAATGAATGACTGAATGAATGAATGGAAGCTGTGTAGTGAGCAGAGCTGATTTGTGTAGCACATCTTTCTGCCCAGAATGTGGTCTCTCACAATGAAAAAAAAAAGGCAACAATAAAAAGGATTTCAGGTTTTACTGTTGGTCTGGAAAACTGTCACAGCTCTACTGCCTCCACATTTTGGAGCAGTGACCTGAAACAGTGTTATGTTTATATTTGGGGACAGTGGCACAACTTGGGAAAATTTATCTGCCTCTGGCTGAGTTACAAGCCTCCAAAAAACATAAATATAAACATATCCTCTGTTGCATATGGCAACTGTCGCCTTACCAGGCAACAACTGCAGTGCTTGTATTTTAGAAATTCTAAGCATATGGGGATTTCCTTTGGATCTGGATCAGCTGAAAAGCTAGTGGTGAATTCCAGTGCCTGGCTGATAATGAGTCACAAATGTCTTGGTGCTGGCTTTGTACAGAACCAAAAATAAGTTAATGGGTCATTGAGTGTAGCTACAGACTGGTTGCAGGGGGAAAAAAAAGCTGCCTGTTTCTAATATGGCATTTCTCACGAATTTTATTCTTTTGCATCATGCAAAGGATTATAATAACTGGGATGTAAAGAGTAAATGCAGAAAAAGCCTCAGTCAGGGTTCCTTGGAAGAATATATAAAGTCTTGACAGTTGGCACACACAGTGGCCAGTTTCATTAAAGCCTTTTCTTCCCAGTGTCTCCAGCTTCCCAGCTTTACAAATAGTTTCCGCTGCTGAATGGCAAGTTCCCATTCCACTGTTCTAGCTTTTGTTCAGAGAAAGAAATGGAAAATGCCTGGTTTTGTGACTAGAAGATGCTGTGTGAATAGTGGGCTGCATGTAAAGATGCGTTGAATCATCCTGACATGAGCTGAATAAACAGCCAGGAAAGTGGATAGTTTAGTGTGCATCTGGCTTCCAACTTGGCCCCTATTCAGATCAGATACTTGTGTGTTTTTGCCTGTCACTGCTTATGACCAGTTATCTCTGTTCACCTGCTGGATGTACGTTGCTTTTAATGACTACCTTTAAGGATATATCAAGATAGCAAAATAGGGTGATTACTTCCCACTGTTTCATGTGAGGGAAGGTGGAAGATAATTTATGAGGGTGAATTACAGTTTCCTTCCCTTGTGTGTCTGTGAGGTTTAATAAGAAAAAGGCATTAGATGAGCAATGTCTGTACAGTTAACTTCTAGGTCGAAGAAATCCTCAGCTTTCTGGAAATACTTGAATTTGAGTGCAATCTTCATTTCCAGACCCTTCTGAAGTAGTGCTCTGCAACACTGCTTGGGCTCTTCTACAGGGACACTGCATTTTATTTTGGGCAAAATTGCAGGAGGTCCAGCTTTTATAAAACTGGTAATTTTTTAATGGTTTTATATAATTAGAATGTCTGCACTCTGAGGTTGTTCACACAGCTTTTCCTAGTGTTTTCACTGTTGTACTTCATGCTGAGAAGTTTTATCTGTTTCATTTCCCACTGAAGTAGGAATAATTAGAGATCTGACCACAGAAGTATTTAAAAGCTATGTTTTAAAGTACTGGCAGTGTGAGTTCTTTGGGTCTCATTTGCTTGTTTTCATGGTGCTGCCATAGCCAGCTCACCTTAGGAAAGATGGGCTTTCCACAAACTCAGGTGCTCCATTTTTCAATTTGGGGTTAGACAAACAAGGGATGAATGGAGTATCTCCCCCCTGGAGAAATATTTTGTTCCAGAAAGTAGGGGATAAAAAGGAAAATAAACCCAGCAGAGTGAGAGATGTTCTTTTATTGTCTGAGCCGCAGTCGGATGATGTTTTTGTTACAATTTAAAAGGCACAGAGGGAGGTTTTAGGTGGAAACTGAAATCAAGTGTTGAGTTGTTTTGAGTTTAAAGTTGGTTGGAAGTAATAAAAAATTAAATAATCTGGGTATGATGACAATATTCCTCAGATGAGTGTGCTTATAAAAGTAAGATAATGGGACTGACTGCTTTTAAATTGGTGGAAAGCAGGTCATGGTGAAAGCCAAGGCTGGCATGGTTTCTATAGTATTATCAGTTTCCATGCTTACAGGACACAATGGTAGAGCGGGAATCTTGGAACCTGTAAATCTTTCACTGGTTCTGAATCGAAGTGGAACAGTTAATGTAAAAAATATCTTTCTCACTTTGCAATAACACTCAATGGGAACATAGAAAATGAAAGGGAAGAAAAGCAAGCTGATGAAGGTTTGCTCTGGCTCAAATAAGAGCAGATGTGATGCCAAAAAGATCTGTGCAGCAGCAAACTAGCTCAAATCACCTCACATCTTTGACTCTTAAAATATGTATTCCAAAACATGCGTGTTCTTGTTTACCAGATATTGACATATTTAAACTAGTAACTTTAATTAAAAACACCCCCAAACAACCAAACCTTTCCAAAATCCTCTGTTTCGTACAGAGGAAGATACTAATTACAGAAGGAATGAGGATGTGTTCCACCATAGGTGCACAGGAGGGTAAAGACCCTTTTAAGAAATGGGGAAAATTTGTCTGTTTAGTAAAGAACACCTACAGTAAAGGAGAGAGAGGGTTTAGATATAGGGGGAAAAAAAAAGGACATTGAAAAGATAAGGATGTGTTATCTTCTTTACATCTAGCTCTCCATGAAGGAAAATATCTTCCATAGTTGAGGAAAAGGTTTCTGCTTAACATTTTTAAAGGGCAGTGGATTCAGTCCTATATAGTAGCCTGAAGTATTACAGTGAAATGTGATTTTCAACATGAGGTACTCCATCAAATTGAAATGTAGCAAGATTAAGGCCTCAGATGAACCTCTGATGTTTCTCTTGGAATGGTGCAGAGGATCTGTTAATTTATATCACTCATTGAAAAGTGAACATTTTTGTGTGGGTGGGTGAGGAAAAGTCTCAGCCTTCATGCAGTATGGGTAGCATGGGATCACCTCCTTCCTACACACATTTATCAGTGCTAAGGATGTGTTTGGCACAGGTGTCTGGAAGGTGAGGAAATACCTGGCATTGGGAATGTTTTCCAAATGTTAGTGTTTGGGATAAACGAGATGAATCACCAGAAAGGAAGGAACTAACTACACAGGACTTCCCATGGGATTTTGCCTGCTTCTGGTCTCGCAGGAGGCTCCTACGTGCGGAATGTGCTTGGGCAGACTGGGAACAAGGGCAGTGTGAGCACCTGGGGATGTCTGGGAATGGCATTGGTGTGGCAGCGCTGAAAGCAGGACTTTGGGGCATTACTCTGCCTCTCCTCACTCTTTTGAGTCACTTCAGAAAGATCTGGTTCCCATCGCCCATTTTTCAGAGGTGTTGTCCAGAGTGGGTGGATTTTCATCGTGTTGTGTCTGTGGCCTGATCCATGAGTGCTGTGTGCTCTGACCTAGGGATGGTGTAGAGCATGGCTGGAAATCAGCACATTTATGCCAAACATAAGGTTTAGTGTGGAGAGGAGTATTGGCACTGAAATTTATGCATGGCAAGCTCATCTGGGAAAGAACATTTTCTCCTTCAGTGAGATAATGATTTCCTAATAGTTTAATCAAGCAGGGGAGATTTAATGCGTCTGGCTGAAGGGACATTAGTGTTTCCGAAAAGGTCAGACCCATTAACAGCTCAGGAGGACACAGTCGAAACTGCTTCCTAAGTAACTCAAAGAACAGGGATCCTCAGAGAAACTTGGAGGAAAAAAAGTCAGAGGGAATTTGAATGAGCATCAACCAGTGCTGAGGTATGAAATTTTGTTTGCTTCTCAAACCTGACTTTTTTTTCCCCATAATGCCCAAAGAGCTGATATTTTGATTCCTTAAAC